TTGTGTGTGTGTTAAAACACATATCTTGACCAGAAAATTAAAAAAACTAAAAAAAAATTAACATTTTCTTGTGTATGTATTAATACACATATCTTGGTAAGAAAATTAAAGGACTCAAAAATTTAACAATTTTTTTGTGTATGTGTTAATACACATATCTTGGTAAGAAAATTAAAATACTCAAAAATTCAAAAATTTAACATTTTCTTGTGTGTGTTTGTGTGTGTGTTTGTTATTACATATATCTTGACAAAAAAATTAGAAAAACCTATTTTCTTGGGTGTGTGTGTGTGTGTGTGTGTGTGTTAATACACAAATCTTAGCAATAAAATTAAAAAAACTCAAAAATTTAACGTTTTCTTGTTTGTGTGTTTATACACATATCTTGAGAAGAAAATTTAAAAAAAAAACTCAAAAATTTAACATATTCTTGTGTGTGTGTGTGTGTGTGTGTGTGTGTGTGTGTGTGTGTGTGTGTGTGTGTGTGTGTGTGTGTTGTTACACAAATCTTGGCAAGAAAATTAAAAAAACTCAAAAATTAAACATTTTCTTGTGTATGTGTTTATACATATATCTTGACAAAAAAATTCAAAAAAACTCAAAAGTATAACATATTTTGTGTGTGTGTTAGTACACATATATTGACCAGAAAATTAAGAATTCTCAAAAATTTAACATTTTCTATTGTTTGTATTAATACACATATCTTGGTAAAAGAATTAAAGAACTCAAAAATTTACCATTTTCTTGTGTGTGTATGTGTGTGTGTGTGTGTGTGTGTGTGTGTGTGTGTTTTTTTACGTTAATACACATATCTTGACAAGAAAATTACAAAAAAATTATTTTTTTGTGTGTGTTTGTGTGTTAATACACAAATCTTGGCAAGACAAATAAAAAAAATTCAAAAATTTAACGTTTTCTTGTTTGTGTGTTAATACACAGATCTTGAGAAGAAAATTTAAAAAAACTCGTAAAATTTAACAATTTCTTGTGTGTGTGTGTGTGAGTGTGTGTGTGTGTGTGTGTTAATACACCTATGTTGACAAGAAAATTAGCAAAAACTCATTTTTTTTGTTTGTGTGTGTGTTATTACACAAATCTTGGCAAGAAAATAAAAAAAAAACTCAAAAATTTAACATTTTCTTGTGTGTGTGCTCATACATTTTTTTGACAAGAAAAATAAAAAAAAACTCGAAAAAATAACATATTTTGTGTGTGTGTTAATACACATATCTTGACTAGAAAATATAGAAAACTCAAAAATTTAACATTTTCTTGTGTGCATATTAATATACACATCTTGGTTAGAAAACTAAAAAAATTTGCAAATTTAAAATTTTTTGTATGTGTTAATACATATATCTTGTCAAGAAAATTAAAATGAAACTCAATTTCTTGTGTGTGAGTTATTAGACACATCTTGGCAATAAAATTAAAATACTCAAAAAAATTAATATTTTTTGTTTGTGTGATAGTACACATATTTTGTTTAGAAAATTAAAAAAACTCAAAAATTTAACATATTCATGTGTGTGTTAATAAACATATCTGGACAAAAAAAAATTTTTAAAAACTCAAAAATATACCATATTTTGCGTGTGTGTTAGTACACATATCTTGACAAGAAAATTAAGAAAACTCAAAAATTTAACATTTTTTGTGTGTGTATTAATACACACATCTTGATAAGAAAATTGAAAAACTCAAAAATTTAACATTTTCTTGTGTGTGTGTTAATACACATAGCTTGACAAGAAAAATTAAAAACTTGAAAGTTGAACATTTTGTGTGTGTGTGCGTGTTAGTACACATATTTTGACAAGAAAATTATGTAAACTCAAAAAATTAACATTTTCTTATGTGTGTTAATACACACATCTTAGTAACAAATATTTCAAAAAACTGGCAAATTAAACATTTTTTGTTTGTGTTAATACACATATCTTGACAAAAAATTGAAAAACTCAGAAATTTATCATTTTTTATATGCGTGTTAATAGACATATCTTGACAAGAAAATAAAACATTTGTCCCGCAAACTTAAGAAGGAAAAATTTGCAGAAACAAAATCGAAAATTTAACATTTTCTAGTGTATGTTAATAAACACATCTTGGTAGGAAAATTCAAAAAAAACTCAAAAATTTAACATTTTCTTGTTTGTGTGTTAATACACATATCTTGAGAAGAAGATTTAAAATACTCAAAAATTTAACATTTTTTCTTGTGTGTGTGAAAATTAGAAAAAACTCATTTTTGTGTGTGTGTGTGTGTGTGTGTGTAACACAAATCTTGGCAAAAAAATAAAAAAACTCAAAAACTTAACATAATCTTGTGTGTGTTAATAAACATATCTCGACAATGATATAACATATTTTGCGTGTGTGTTAGTACACATATCTTGACAAAAAAACTAAGAAAACTTAAAAATTTAACATTTTCTTGTGTGTGTATTAATAGACACATCTTGGTAAGAAAATTGAAGAACTCAAAAATTTAACATTTTCTTGTGTGTGTTTTAATACACATATCTTGACAAGAAAAATTAAAAACTTGAAAGTTTAAAATTTATTTTGCGTGTGTGTGTGCGTGTTAGTACACATATCTTGAGAAGAAAAATTAAAAACTTGAAAGTTTAACATTTTGTGTTTATGTGTGTGTATGCGTGTGAGTACACATATTTTGACAAGAAAATTATGAAAACTCAAAAAATTAACATTTTCTTATGTGTTTTAATACACACATCTTGGAAATAAATATTTCAAAAAACTGGCAAATTAAACATTTTTTGTGTGTGTTAATACACATATCTTGACATGAAAATTGAAAAATTCAGAAATTTATCATTTACTTATGTGTGTGTAAATAGACATATCTTGACAAGAAAATAAAAAATTAGTCCGGTAAACTTAAGGAGGAAACATTTGCAGAAAGAAAATCGAAAATTTAACATTTTCTTGTGTATGTTAATATACACATCTTCGTAAGAAAATTCAAAAAATAACTCAAAAATTTAACATTTTCTTGTTTGTGTGTTAATACACATATCTTGAGAAGAAAGTTTAAAAAAATCAAAAATTTAACATTTTCTTGTGTGTGTTTGTGTATTACTTGACAAGAAAATTAGAAAAAAAAAACTCATTTTCTTGTTTGTGTGTGTGTGTGTGTGTGTGTGTGTGTGTGTGTGTGTGTGTGTGTGTGTGTGTGTGTGTGTGTGTGTGTGTGTGTGTGTGTGTGTGTGTGTGTGTGTGTGTGTGTGTGTGTGTGTGTGTGTGTGTGTGTGTGTGTGTGTGTGTGTGTGTGTGTGTGTGTGTGTGTGTGTGTGTGTGTGTGTGTGTGTGTGTGTGTGTGTGTGTGTGTGTGTGTGTGTGTGTGTGTGTGTGTGTGTGTGTGTGTGTGCGTGTGTGTGTGTGTGTGTGTGTGTGTGTGTGTGTGTGTGTGTGTGTGTGTGTGTGTGTGTGTGTGTGTGTGTGTGTGTGTGTGTGTGTGTGTGTGTGTGTGTGTGTGTGTTGTGTGTGTGCGTGTGTGTGTGCGTGTGTGTGTGTGTGTGTGTGTGTGTGTGTGTGTGTGTGTGTGTGCGTGTGTGTGTGTGTGTGTGTGTGTGTGTGTGCGCGTGTGTGTGTGTGTGTGTGTGTGTATGTGCGTGCGTGTGTGTGTGTGTGTGTGTGTGTGTGTGTGTGTGTGTGTGTGTGTGTGTTAATACACATATCTTGACAAGAAAATTAGCAAAACCTCATTTTCTTGTGTGTGTATGTGTTATTACATAAATCTTGGCAAGAAAATTAAAAAAATTCAAAAATTAAACATTTTTTTGTGTGTGTTCATACATATATCTTGACAAAAAAATTAAAAAAATCTCGAAAATATAACATATTTTGTGTGTGTGTTAGTACACATATCTTGACCAGAAAATTAAGAAAATTCAAAAATTTAACATTTTCTTGTGTATGTATTAATACACATATCTTGCTAAGAAAATTAAAGAACTCAAAAAATTTATCATTTTCTTGTGTGCGTTAATGCTGGTCATTTTTCGCTGGTCATTTTTCGCTGGTCATTTAACACTTCCGTAAGTAGACTTCTCGTTGGTCATTTTTGCAATTGACCATAAAGTCAAATATTTTTCAATTGCAAAAATGACCTGCGAGAAGTCTACTTACGAAAGTAGACTTCTCAGAGAAGTCTACTTTGCATAGAGAAGTCTACTCTACAAAGTCAAAGGTTGGTCAATTGCAAAAATGACCTGTTTCTAAAGAAGTCTACTCGAGAAGTCTACTCTATTTTTTTGTTATCAAAGGAAATGGAGTAGACTTCATTCGAACCAAAAGAAATATACTTTTTCATGCGGTCAATTGTAAAACTAACCTGGGCGTTGACTAGTAGACTTCATTCGGACCAGAGAAGTCTACTTTCAGAGCATTTTCGTAAATACGTGAGGAAGATGAGGATTAATTGGTCTTTTGGATTTCTGAAAATAAAAGAAATTAATTAAAAATAATGGCAATTTCGTAAATAACTGAAACTATGAAGAATTGTTTGGACACAAAATGGCAAATGTTGGGAAGGTGATTTTTGTGGGTTAGATTTGCAATTCAAATCAAATTTTAGATCATTTTTGCAAGAATTCCTTAATTTTTATCAAAATATGTGTACTAATACACAAACAAAAAAATATTAAATTTTTTAGTTTTTTAGTTTTCTTGTCAAGAAGAAGATGTGTGTAACAAAATATGTTGGATTTATATATATCAAAAATATATTATAGAAGATTCACTGACATGCAAAAAGATTAGATTACATAAATTTTTGTTTACACCAAAAATATTATATTATAATAGAAGATTTAGTTACATCAAAAAGATTAGGTTATATAAGATTCTTGTTTACACCAAAAAAATAGATTATAGTAGAATTTACATACATCAAAAAGATCAGATTATACCAATCTTAACTAGTTAAGATTGACAAATATGAAACAAGAGGAGTGCATTAAGAGCTCTTCTCATCTTGCGGTACACGTCATGCAGTTTCTCTTCTTTTTGTTGCTCCATTGAACATGTCTTATCATCCCTTTAGAAGTACGAGGTTGAGTTGGGAAACTCAACCAGTTGCAGCTAGATGATACATCAGAAACATCATTCTCCTCTGTCTCAGCTTCTTCAAGAAGAGGAAGACAATCTTCAGACTCAGAAACAAGAGAAACATCATCCTCCTCTGTCTCGGTCTCTTCAAGAAGATGAAGAAAACCTTCAGACTCAAAAACATCAGAAACTTCTTCCTCCTCTGTCTCAGCTTTAGAAACAACCATATCTTCATCACAGTCCATTTGGCCACAAGCTCGTCTCTTTCCTTCTCTTCTCTCGCCTAGACTTGAGCCCCAGTTCTTCTTGGGTTTGCTTTTACGTTGGCTGCGTTTTCTCTTGCGGGTCTCTTTGTTCATTATTTGCAAAATGTGGGGAATCAGAATGCATTTTGGTTTCTTGGCAAGATTACAAGTTCCAGCAACAGATGTCGATCTCACTCTTTTCTTCCGGACATACTTAATCTCACACAATCTGTCTCGTCGACAACCATCAGAAGGATCTCTGTTGTTGTTGGGTTTAGTTTCTTCAACAAGCTTCACTGTTGCTGCTTCACCTCTTCCTTCAAAAACGACTGATCTTGCGTTGGCCAGAGCCAGCAAATCGCCAAAAGATAATTGATCGAGATCAGACACTAAGCTCCTCCTGCTCCTGCATTCATCGCTTTCAGTAATCATTTTACTCAAAATTATGGCGAAATCTTTAAACCCTTTGGAATTTGGATTTACCTCTCCGGGTTGGTCCAAGTGTTGTTGTTCCTTTCGTTCACTTGGTTTATCTCCATTTTCACTTTACCCTTTCCTTCGTCGGGAAGTTTTCAAAGTATAGAAAGCTAACAAGAAAAACAACATGCGAAAGAACATCAAAGCGGAGAAAAATTTGCTAAAAAATGAAGCTGAAATTTTTCATTTTTAAAATTCAAGAAAATTGAAAGGAGGCACTGATTTCGAGTTTAAGCCATAATTTTGATTTTTAAATGAAAAGAAAACAGAGAAATTTACCGGAGAGAGTTGACGGCGGGATGAGAGTGATCGGAATTCTAGCGGTGGGAAGCTGAGCCTGAGAGGTACACACCGTGACACCGTCTCCCGTCGTCTTCTCCTGGAGACAGATGTAAAAATGTAAAAAAGTTCTCCCAAGTAAGAATGTAAAAATAAAATTAACCATCCAAATAATTAAGAGGAGGTCACATGAATGACACGGTTGCTTCGTTTTTACGTGGCAAAAGCCATGCAACTTCTCTCTTAAATTTGTTGGCATCCAGTTAATTCCCATTTATCTTTTTAATTATCTGTTCCCAATTATATAAAAATTATTATAGACTTTAGTTTTTTAAAATATATATACGAGGAAATTAAAAAAATGTAAAATGAAAGGAAAATAGTCGAACCTTTGTAATGGTTTGTGTTTGCATGCACACTTTCTTGAAATTATTACAAGTTCCAGAAACATTGATTAAGCTTGATGATGGTTTATTACAATTTCTCCAATAGATGATTTTGTTGGATGAAAAAGATTTTCAAATGAAATATAAAACAGAGAAATTTACCGGAGAGCATTAACGGCGGGATGAGAGTGAAGAGCTTTTTGTATGTTTATGGGCTCATCTCAATATATATTTTTAAGAATTTTAAACTAATGGGCCATTAAAAAGCAGAGTAGGCCCAATATCTCTTCTAATTTCGTATGTGGAAAATCGCATCTCGCTGAGATTCTCTGAGTCAGAGAGAAATGGCGAAATCAATGGCGACGCTAGATTCTGGCACCACCTGTTCCTCCTGGAATCACTCCGGCCACCGATTAGCCGCCGGATCCTTAGACGGAATTCTCTCCGTTTACGACTCTCCTGTTCCCTCAGCTTCGTCTTCTTCTTCTTTCACTTGCACTTCCAAAGTTAGGGTTAGTGAATCGAGTGTCGTAAAGATCGTCTGGTTGCCTTCGGAATACGGCGACGCAGTGGCCTGCATTTGCGAAGACGGGAGTTTATCGATTTGGGAAGAGATTTCTGAAGGTAATCTTCATGGGTTCGTTGCTTAAAATCATTTCGAGTGTGTTTTAGCTGTTTCGTTAAGAAACCAATTGTCTTACTCTGTTTTGTCAGACTCGCATGCTCTTGAGTGGAAACCGTGTAAGAGTATCAAGAACAAGTCTAGCCAAGTGCTCGATGTTCAATTTGGGGTTTCGAGAAAGAGTCTAAAGATGGTGAGCCTCTGTGTTTTCTTCTTCTTAGGCTTGTTTGTTTGTTTTGAAAGTCTTTAACTTTTATGATTAACTTGCAGGTTGCAGCATATTCTGATGGGTACCTTAGGGTTTTCGAGCTGCTGAATCCATTGGAGTTAAATAATTGGCAACTTCAGGTTGCTTTTACTTCTATTGACATTTGTAAAAGGAGACATTTTTGGAATTTGGTTTTCTTGATTCTATCGATTTCTTGCACATAGACAGTCTTAATTCTCATTCATTCTGTGCAGGCCGAGTTTCAGAATGTTATCGATTCTCTGTCGACTCTCGGTAAGCCTTCAAGCTTGTCTGCATCTGTTTCTTGGAATCCAGTGAGGAGTGAAGAGCAAGAACCTAGCTTTGTTATAGCTTTCAACTCTAATTCTACACATCTGAATTCTTCCAAGGTATATATATATTTCACTTTCTTTGAGCTGGGAAACGAAGGAATCGACAGTGATGGACTTGTTGTTGTTGCAGATATGGGAGTTTGACGAAGCTCATAACAGATGGTTGGCAGTAGCAGAATTGGCCTTACAAGACGACAAAGGTGATCCAGTTTATGCTGTGTCATGGTCCCCTAATATTGGCCGGTAATTCAAGACAATCTTGGTCCTTTTTTTATAAAGTACTGTCTTGAGACGCTCAAGCTAATTCCTCTTTTGATGCAGACCATACGAGGTTGTCGCTGTTGCAACTCAGAAAGGCATCGGAATATGGCACGTTGGTCTAGCTCCTGACCGTGAAGGAAGGCTTCCGGTGAAGAAGGCCGCCTCGCTTTCTGGTCATCAAGGCGAGGTATCAAATCTCAAAATCTCATTAGAATGAAACTATTGGGTCTAAAGCTTTTAATCTCATTCGAGTAAAAGGTAACTAAACAACACTGCTTTGATGTTTCCTGGTCAGGTTTGGCAGATGGAATGGGACATGAGTGGCATGACTTTAGCTAGCACTGGAAGCGATGGGATGGTCAAACTGTGGCAGTCAAACTTAAACGGTGAGTGGCACGAACAGGCCACGCTCGAGCCACTTCCCTCTTAAGTCCCACATCGCCATGTTCCGGACTCTCTTATTTAGTTTCGTTCGGTGATTCATATCTTGCAATGAGCTTATCATATCTTACAATGGTTTTTTTTAGTATTTGATTTCGTTTGGCATGTAGGCAAGAAAGACGATTAAACCATAGTTGAGAAAAGGCAAAGTCCAAATTATCTTTAACCGAAATTCAACCGGTTTTCAAAATTTGTATCAAATGTAACCGATACCAAACCGACCGATACCAAACCGGTATGAGCATAAACATGTCTGTTTATTTTGACTTTCAAGTTTCTAGATTGGTTGGTTTTATTTTGGACGGCACACATGTAGCCTACACAGACCCAAAACGTTACGAAGTTTTGTTTCTCTATCTTCTTTCCCTTTCTCTTCCTCTCTCATCCACAACATTTTCCTTCTCTCGCCGGTGAGGGTAAGAGAAGGAGAGAGAGATGACTATGACGCACTCTTACTCTCCGGCGACAGTCTCAACCGTTAGAATTCTGGGTTCGTCTCCGTACAACACTCGGCGGCGAATTTCTCGGCCTAGTGTCTCAATCTCTAGAAACAAGAAAAGCTTCTTGCTACACTTGACAGAGACGAAAGAGAAAGGAAGAAGAGAAGATGGGAGAGTGTCAATCGTGTGTGACGCAGGAGGGATGTTTCCGGTGGATCCATGGGCTCCAACCATTGATTCACAGAGCATAGCATCACAGCTCTTCGCTGTATCTCTGTTTCCATACATAGGTTTCCTCTACTTCCTCACTAAATCCAAATCAGCTCCAAAACTCACACTTTTCGGATTCTACTTCTTGCTTGCCTTCGTTGGAGCTACAAGTAAGTGTGTACTCTGTTTTAGCCTTTGCCGCTCTGTTAATAACGTTTCTTTGCGATCTTAATCCTCTCTCTCTCGCTCTCTCTCTTTGTTCTGCATTTGGTGATTTGATCAAATTGAATTTGGGATGAAACGGCGCAGTTCCTGCAGGGATTTATGGTAAATTTCTTCGGCTTTATATAAATTTGGTGGTGGATCTTCTTGAAAATTGAGAGTTTCTGAATATATTTTTGTTTGGTTGGTTCATGGTTGATGAATGAAGCAAAGGTGCATTATGGAACATCGTTGTCGAATGTTGATTGGTTGCATGGAGGAGCTGAATCACTTCTCGCTCTTACAAATTTGTTCATCGTGTTGGGTCTCAGACAAGCTCTGAGGAAGCCTGAAGATAATAATGATGCGGAAACTCCAACAACTCAAGAACAAGAGAAATCTTCGGTCTAGTCAATAACCGAAAGTTGTATTTAGTCAATAGTGTATAACAATATGCAATCTTTATTTTTTTTGTCTATCATCTTCATCCATTAGTTAATGTATGTTTTTTTTTTAAGATTTCTATTTTACCTATTTCGTTTTCTTAAGAGTTCTTTATTAAAAGTGAAGGTTATATAGCAAACTCTTTATAAATTAATATTCGATAAATTAATAATTATTGTGTCAGTATAAAAATTAGCAAATTTTAATAAAATAGTAAGATAATAATTTTTTTGAAACTCATATGTAAAAATATAGTCTCAATAATTAGATAAATTAATAATTATATATTTAAGCGTATATAAATAATATAATATAGTAAACTATAATTATATTATTGTTTTAAGTTTATAAAAATTATTTGACTTATTTTTCAAAATTACTAATATGATATTTTCTGAATAAATTATACATTGTTAAAAACAATTTTTTTGTTTTTTGACAAATATTTTTAATTTAAACTGAAATATCTCTTTATAAATTAATAACTCTATAAATTAAAAAAAATTTGAAGTTCCAACATTATTAGTTTATAGAGGTTTTACTGTAAATCTTATCCGGTTGAAATGAATCTAATTCATAATTCATAGTTTGATGTAAACAAAAGCTTGAAGAATCCAATAACAATGCGCATACGTAAAATGTATACCAATAATACACATACACATACAAGTTCATCTATAAATAAGGAAACTGATATTCTACAATATTAAGAAAAATATCTTAGGATTATTTTAACAATTCTAACACGTAGTCGATGGCAATGAGATCGACATGAATAAAAGAATCTGAATCTTGCACAACTATGATTGAGAACCAATTCTGAAATAGACATCCATATTAGGTAAAAAGAAAATGCCATTCGAATCGATTCAAAATTTAGTTAAACTTTGAACAAAGAATAAGTTCAAGATCAAGACAGACACTAACAAATGTATCGAATTCAGAAATTTTTTAATAAATTCCCATAGTATAAATAGACATTTAAAGCTCAGTCCAAAACTCACACACAACACAAGTACAAAAACCATAAAACTAAACACTTCCTTACCACAATGCAGTACTACGAAACCCGTGAAAAAGAATACTACGATGTGGCTCAAGGCCAAAGCCGCCAGGGCTATGGCCAGAAACACCAGGAATATGGCCAGAACCGCCAGAATTTTGAGCAGAACCACCAGGGATATGGCCAGAGCCAGACCCGTCCAGTATATGGGAATAGCCCGACTCTAAACCACCGTAGCCACGGCGGTTTTCTTGATGGGCTATTCAAAGGTCAAAATGGCCAAAAGGGTCAGAGCGTTCTAGGGTCATTGCTAGGACAGCACAAGAGCCAAGAGGCTAACAAGGGCCATGGACATGGGAAGCTCTTAGGACAGCACCAGAAGAAAACTCATGAGACAAACAAAGGTCTTAATGGCCTAGGTATGTTCATTAACAATGGAGAGAAGAAACACAAGAAGCAAAATGAGCACAAGAAGAAGAAGAACAAGGATGGACACGGCAATGGCAATGAGAGTGGAAGCAGCAGCGGTAGCGACAGCGAATAAGTCAAATGCTTTCACAAGAGTGATGCTTCTGCGCGAGACTAAATAAAGTAATTAGGTGTAATACTTAAAATAAAAACCACTTAGGTGGTTCTTGTCACTGTGTCCGGCCCATATATGAGCTTCACTACTATGAATCTACTTTTTGTACTTATGTTTTAGAACCAACTGAGAACACTAGCTAGATATCAATATGCGTATAACACATAACAATTACCCAGCTAATTCACAGTCAACTTCAGAATAATTGATCCATATTTTATGACTTTTACCAAGGATAAACATGAATTACACTCGGAGAAGTATTAATATAACCATTTCTTATCATATCCTTTTGTCTATATATATCAAATATGTTGAGAAAACTTGAACATAAGCATGTAAATATGGATTTACATTATGAGATATATATTGAGAGATTGATGAAAAGAAAAGTAGAGTTGGATATGTAATATGGATTTACATTATGGACCAAAAGTAGAATTGTATATCCAAATCTAGTAATGTTATGATGGTTAGATCCGAAAATTGTATATGTTGTTAGTGAGAAGAAAAACATAGTCTTTGACTTAACATATAGAAGGAGAGAATAAAAGGGACCACTTTAAAAGCATTGGGCATATGGTCTCGAGACTGTGACATGTGCTTCTCCCCACCAATCTTAATCAATTGCTCTCTTCCAAACATTTGTATATTTAACTACTTCACACCTGTGTTAAATTCCAATTTTTATTTAGTAAAACTGTAACATATAATTGTTCTAAATACAAGCTATCAAGAAAGTCCTTTGATGGTTGAACTAGAAGATTCAAAAGGAGCTTTCACCTCTTTCAAAAATCACGGGGATTATATCGTAATACTGTGTTAGTAACACAAAATGAAATGAAAATTGCTTACTCTTCTAGCTCGTGGTGGCAGTTCATCTTCCATCTCTACGCTGTGATCATCTTCATCATAGTTTACTTCTTCTTCACAATCACAAGCATCATCATCATGAGGATCTAAAACATTCTGATTAGCATTCAGCTCTTCCGCATACTCAACCCCTTCAAACCACTCATCAAAATCCATATCACCAATTAAGTTCAGCTTCTTCCATCATCTCACCATGGATGTCAAAGCCTTACTGGTTGTTAGGTACGATGGTTTCAACAAGAGCAGCCAAATCCATCTCACCAAGTTCATCTTCTTCCATCATCTCACCAGGGATTTGAAAGCCTAATGTACAATAAAAAAAGCATTTGCCTCAGGTACCAAAATTATATAAAATAATTCAGGGCTACCAATTTTTAAAAAGATGGTGTACCATAGTGGCATTAGAGAGAATGTTAGGTTCTAAGAACCCGAGTTTGAGTAGTACTTCAATGTCAGCTTAGTTTATTTTTTTTGAAAAATAAAATGTAGACAAAAGGCTATATAGATTTCAAAATCAAAAAGGAAAGTCTTAAATCAAAAAAGAAAATCGACTAAAAGTATATAGATTTCAAAATCAAAAAGGAAAATCCTAAATAAAATAAAAAAATCGACTAAAAGTTTTTGAACTTATGTAATTTATTAATTTATTTTTAGAATGAAGTTTTATGGGATTACAAATATAAAAATTACAATTTTTCTGTCTTGTAATCTTCCATCTTTGTCTTTCCTACATTTTGATATTTTTTTATATTTTAAATTTTTTATATTTAAAAAGTTACAAACCTATCATATTTATTAAAATATATTTATTAAAAATTTTAAGATTACAATAATTTGGTAAACAAAATTATTGAAAGAAGAAACAAATTATATATTAGTTTTTTATATTATAATTTATTTTGATTTAAAAACCATTTTATATTTTTATTTTTATTTTTAAAAAGCTCCAATTTTTATTTATCTTAATCTCTATAAACTTATAGACAAACAAGGTAAGATGCAACAGTTTTAACAAGATCATCCAAATCCAAATGGTTGAAAGTAAAATGATTATGAGAATACCTTCTATTCTAATTTCTAGAAAACATCAAAATCAGAGTCATTTATCCCAACGCAACAAGATTCTTTAAAGAAACATGATTCTCAACATGATTGTCCAAAGCAACATTCTGAATAGGAACAGGAACATGATTCTCTAATGAAGAAGACCTTCTATCTCATCGCAACCGGATTCTCCAGCGCAACAGGATTTTGAATAAATTATTATTTATCATTTGTTTTTCTTCTTCGGCAAATGAAACCAAACTTTAAAAAAAAAGATTCATAAAAAAAAAATAAAGTTCAAAAATAATAATAATAGTGAATGATAAACACTAAACATCATTTACTAAATCGTTTCTCAAACCCAAAAAACAAAAGAGATATTAAAATTATAAACATAAACGAAAATAAGAACAAGTGATCAAAAAGCAAAACTAAATAAGGTTAAATTTTCTTAAGACTTGTGTTCACGATCAGTACAAAAAAAAGTTCCTTCTTCACCTTGAGTATGGTTTCATATAGAAGGTGATTTGAAGTTTCTGTTTCTATACCAGTACATTGTACTTGCTTTAAAACAAGTATAATGAAAGAAAACACAACATCATCATTGTATATATAGCGTATTTTCCCCACTTGAAAATCTATTGTGGTATTGACATATTTCTAAAAGGTCAAGATTTGGTTTGAACTTCTTGACTTGTCCTACTTTCCAACACATGAGAATTATTTGGTTGGATTTGAAATTTGTAAAAGCATATGAGGTGCTTATTGTTTTCCAGCTCATAATTAATGTTCCAAACCTCATCAAGTTTAAGTATGTTTTTCCCCTTGTCTTTTTCCTAATTTTTTTTTTTGGGGTAAAATATAACAATAACTATAGCAAAAATTGTTGAAGCTTGTAACTGTGGATTTTCATCTCATCAAATAACTCCTTGAAAACTATATCATGCCAAAGTGTATTTCAAGTAAACAGCGTGAACTATAGTGTTTTCAAAAGCCAATCCAAAATTCATTAAGCAAGAATTCAAAATCAATTGGCATGATACAATTGAGAGATTGATTATGAAAAGAAAAGTAAAGTTGTATATGTAAATATGGATTTGCATTATGGGCCGAAAGTAGAATTGTATATCCAAATCTATTATTGTTATGATGGTTATATCCGAAAATTGTTTAGTCCATATTATAAAATTGTATATATTGTTAGTGCGAGGGAAAAAAAAAAAAGTCTTTGACTTAACATATGGAAGAAGAGAATAAAAGGGACCACTTTAAAAGCATTGGGCATATGGATGGTTTCGAGACTGTGACATTTGCTTCTCCCTACCTTCCCCACCAATCTTATTTAATTGCTTTCTTCCAAATTTTTAACTTCTTCACACCTCTGTTAAAATTTTCGGAAGTTTTTTTACTCAAATCATAATTTCTATATTATTAAAAACTGTAACATACAATTGTTCTAAATACAATCAAGAAAGTCCTTGGATGATTACACTATAATAAAATTTAAAAGGAGCTTTCACCTCTTTCAAAAATCACGAGGCTTATATCATAATTAAAACCCCTAATACAGATATCATTATTTAACAACTTTCGCACGATTTCAACAAATTATCCATCCGGTTTTGCTTTAAACCCTGATTAACAACCTAAACCCCTAATATTCTCATCATATTTCCTAATTCCAAAGTTTATTTCTTTTCTTCTCTTGCAATTCTGATCAAAATACACAGTTTTGTGTAATTCAATTGGCGAGAACTTGCCAAATAAGCTCTGCGTCGAACGACGGCATCCTCGCAAGCAAAAACCCATCAGTATCCACTCCCATCATCGTATCTTCCTCTGCCGCCGTCATTGTCGCCGGAACTTCATCGGAGATCGAAACCGACGCCGGTGAACTATTCTCGCTGTTCCATACACCCATTGGCGAGTTCCAGTAACTATCCTCTGAATTAACCGCAGTAGCAGTCGCCGTTGCCGTCGGGGAAGACAGAATCTCCGGCGATGACGTATACGAAGAATCTGCCGTCGCCGCCGACGAGTTTTTGCTCACTTTCCCGCTCTTTTTGGCTCTCTCTCTTCTAACTCTCTGGCAAATCGATTGGATCTTCCCGTCGACTGCGCTTTTGAGAGCTATTAGCTTGGAGGAATCTCCGAGTCCGAGCAACTCACTCGGATCCTTGAGATTCGGGAAATTGAGACGAGCGTATTCTCCACGTAGCTTATAGGCGGCGCGATCGTAAGCGTAAGCGGCGGCTTCCGCCGTGTCGTAAGTACCTAACCAAACCCTCATTCTGTTTTGCGGCAATCTTATCTCTGCAACCCATTTTCCCCAATGTCTCTGCCTCACTCCTCTGTAAAGCTTCTTCTTTTTCTGCGTCCTCCCAGCCGCTAACGCCGCGGCGAAGGCGGCGGCAGGAGTCGCGGTCGCAGCTTGGAGCATTAGCTCAGAAGCTTGATGATCGAACGATGAGGAAAACAGAGGAGGAGGAGTGTAGATTGCTCTGTTTTGAAGGTGGAGTCTCTCGATAAGATCTCGTTGCCGGAGATAGACGGAGGAGCCGAGCTGCGACGGCGGCGGAGGCGAAGGATTGAGAGTGTCGAGGGATGTTGTGGCGGATTCACCGGAGGAAGGAGTGAGAAGCGAGAAGATCGAGTCGAGTGTGTTTGGTCCTCCTGCTAGTATGATCTGAGACAGAGAAGCTCTGATTTCTGAGATTTTGGGACTGAAATTCTTCTGAAAGATATTATTTTGTTCTTCCATTGTTCACCAAAACAAGACTATTACAACGAGAAATCGTCCTAACAATTGAGTTTGAAGAGAAACAGAGGATAGTGATGGTGGATTTTCAGGTTCAAAAGAGACTGAAGAAGAATATGATTGAGATATTGAGAGATTAGTTATGAGAAAGAAAAAAAGTAGAATTGATTTTGTTTTTGTTTTAAGATCTATTAAATGGGTTTTTGGGTTTTAAAAGTTTAGAAACAGCTTCTACATATATATAGACTTTTTAGTAGAGAGAAGAAAAAAAAAAACCAGGAAAGTTGCTTTACAGATTTTCACATGGAGCTCTTTGACTTTTTCTATTTGATTTTTTATTTTATATTTAAGTTTGCCAAACTAGTGTGAGTCAACATATACAATATTTCCAACCACAATTTTACTTTTAAATAATCAGTTCATGACCATTATAAGCACCAGATGCATATATGAGGGTGTTGTTAATATAAGCATGATATTTAATCTACAGCAGACTATAATCTATTAAAGTTTAAAGTTTTACATCCACAAATTTGTAGACCTTTTCAATTTTGTTCAAAGCTTAGCGTTGGACAGTTAAAATATTTTGATCAATTAGAGTTGTGATTTTTTTTTTGAATGGGGGTTTAGTGATGGAAAAATAATTAGACCAATGTTGGAAAACATTATTTCTTTAAGTTTACATTAGTGTAGACGGATGTTGGACTAGCGAGAATCAAGAAACTTTTTTTGTTACAGTTCTCTACATAATGTAGTACAGTACTAAGTAATATTGTTCCTTAACATTCGATTTGTAAAAATAACATTAAATAGATAAATTTCTATTAATGATAAGTTGCTGTTCTTTAGCAAATTTGATCTCAATTTGTATTTTATACTGAAGGTGAATGATTTAAGTTCACACATCTTTTATAGAATACATTCACACTTGTTAATAAAAATTATTTTTCAAGTAAGATCGTCAAATTGTAACAACTTATATTTTGGGTATACATGACAAAGAAAGTTTGAGCCTATCGAGTATCGACTGCGATCTAATTACCATATACGTACGTACTAATGCAGTATGTTTAGTTAGTAGTTTGAACACATCTTGTCTAAATGACGCCATATGTAATATATGCCAAATGATAAACATGCCATTTTAAACGATTATTCACGCAAGAATAAAAATCTTCAAAATAGTCAAAATTTTCAGTTTTCCATAAATTTAAAACAACATCGTTTTGATTTTTGATCAAATGTTTAAAATTTTGATGGTATCGGGGGAACTAGTTATGTCGACACGATATGACATTAATATATATACATATTGTTGAATTGATGCAGAAATTAACATATTTACTCCAAAATTTTCAAATCCTTCGTTTCTTTGGTGATATAAACATAAAGACGAGTCCGTGTGGTCCCCATAAAAAACTTTTTAAATTTATGAGGCAAGAGAAAGAGAGAGAGAGAAGAGTCAAGACTTCTGTTCTGTTTTAAAAAGGTCCGTATGGTATCATAAATTCTCTGCCACGCCTTCATCTTCTCGCCCCGATAATTTCATTTCATTTTCTCTCCATCTTCTCATCTCCAACGTCATTTTTGTGTGCATTCATATTTCATAGATTATTCATCAGAGATGCATCAATCCGAATTTAAATGATACAATAGTTTATTTTTTCAAAATGTCCGATCAACGGTAGTAAATGATAAAGTGCTATTAGTCAATTAAATGATAGTTATTGATTAGCCAGTCATAAACAAAAATCAGTTTGTGGTGAAAATATCCTCTTTTTCACTATTGCATCATTTATAAAAAATTTATTTATGAGACTCGATTTTTCTACCATCAAGAGTTAATTTGTAACACATGCTTAGCAAAATTTAAAATGAATGAAATGTTTACATTGATCGAAGCTTGTACTTGTGTGGAAACGACCCAATATATGACTCTTTTTGCCAGAATCAATTGATAACTTTTCAACATGGGTAAACCCAATTTGCATCAAATATCTGAAAGTCTTCTAGACTCGAGATTTTATTTTTTTTAATCGTATTTACTAAAAGTTGTAATTTGGAGGTCACGAGTTATGCGTGGGTCGCAACCATACGTTTATAAGTGTGTCTTTTTTTAGGACGTGCAATGTTAGCCAAAATCGGTACGTTTTTTTAATTAAAATCTCAATTCTGCATTTGTAGTGTACATTATATATGTACGCATATTATATAAATGTGTGAACAATTAATGACACGTACAATCAATATATAACTTTTAGAACACATCTCGGGGCCGGTCCATTCCTAATAAATCCAAAAAGTTATCATAAAGCCAATCACATGTTGGCTTTCGGTGATTTTTTGTATGTTTTGGAAATATATTCCCAAATGAAAAAAAAAATAGGTGAGATATGCATATCTACATCTCCCTACGAGCCTATGAAATTTATTTACATCAATTATTGTAGAAAAATAATGAAAACTAGCAAACATAAAACCTAATGATTAATCAAAAATAAGAAGCTATAACTGTTTTTTAAAGTTTAACTAGCTAAATTGATGTAAAACCAATTGAATATATATACTTAATGAGGTAAATTAATGATTTAATTTAGTTAAATGTATATAGGAATCATATCATATTAGGTTGGTGTGTGTTATATATGAGGTTGCTATAAATTAGTTTTAACTCCAAGCAAAATCTTGTAAATCAACCACAAATCAAATATTTAAACTCAAAGTTGTCTTAAAATCTCACACTGGAAGTTAATTATAATAACTAAATGAAATTTGGCTAAGGGTATGTTGTTTCAGTCTGACAGACCGAGAATAGGCACCCCCTGAGTGCTATAAAAGATTCACAAATTACCTTCAATTTTCAAATGGCTAAAAACAAAAATGAAGTTCAAACTAATTAATTATTATAAGAAAATTTTGGTAGAAAGCCATGAGGAGTACTGGCCATTTTAAACACATGAAGTCTATATATCTTAGCTAGCATTGAAATTTTACAGTTTAATACAGTGCTTTCTTTACTTTGACAATATTATAGTTTAACATATATATATTAAATCCATATACATAAATGATTTAATTTTTTAGAATATCGCTACAGGCATATTTATAGAATACTTAAAGTTCTTTTTCAACGAATTACAAACTTCAAGTTCATAATCGCTCTGGATCGAATATTAAATCATGTTAGCTAACTTGGTCTTTTCTTTTTTGTTAAGAATGTTGTTAACATAGTTCATTTCCGTTTGATGTTACTCGAACTCGTGATATAAGGTTGGATTGACGGATGATAATTACTAAGCAAATTGAGATGTTATAAGCAAAGATGTACATATATATATAATATAACAGTACATTCACATAATATGTTTGTTTCTTGCACGTAAACGTCAACCTAATTCGTTGATTTCGTATGAATAATATAAAAGGTGAAGAGCATTAAAACTTGTGTGGTACAGAGGTAATGGAGGCGAGGGCAACATGGTAAATTCAGTAACATTGAGAATCTTATCCGGATCGAGTGACAAATACACAAGTGTGAAAGTAACGGTGTCGTCGACGGTTTTCGTTTAAAAGAACGATGGCCGCATGAACCAGTAATTGACAGCGAAAGTTAGGGGCACAATTGAGATTTCAACCACCGAAAAAGTAGTGTTTTGTCGTTATTAGCGTATGTCTTCTAAAGGCGACGCCGACAGAACAGTGGTCCACTACTCCTGAAGTCGACACGTCACCAAACTTTGTCTCCTTGTGAGGTCCCCAACAAAAAAGAACGGATCGTTTTCTCCAGATCAATAAAACGGGGGATCATCTCGCCACGATAAATTACGGCGACGACGTTTATTTCGGTGTATTACGTAATCTCGACGGGAAGTGACGTCACGCTGATGCCATTCTTCTTCTGCCGCTGATATATTTGATAATATATGTTGGTATGGCTTTAAATGAGACCTAATTCTAATCTTTTTGTTTCATTCACGTGGTTCGTTTAGTAACGTTGAGAATTTAACAAATATCTAGAAAATATTTCAACTAATTTATTATATTTTTAAAAAGAAAACATATATGTTCAAATCAACATGTCAACTGTGTGTCTGTGTTCCTATTTTGACACCGATCGGGATAATATCATCATTTTCTTATCAACCATAATCTTTCAGACTTAACTTAATTATAACATGTAAATCAGTCAACACGTACGTATATTAGTCTCTTTTACAGATGATTGAACCATTACTCAACACGTTTATATATTGTTTATAAAACGCAATGAAGATTTATTGGAAATAAAAGGAATCACGATACTGAATATTATATTTGGTAACACTCGTAATTATACGTTCAAAGGTTTGAATGAAAGCGTACGGATAAAACTCTAGAAGGCTAAAAAAGGTGTATTATGAATGTATATGCATGTGGTTGAAGGTGACTCTACAAAAAGAGAGAGGTTATTTGCCTGTACTTGTCCTAATTTGAGTGGATAAGTACTACACGCATAGGCATGGTTCTAGAAGTATATAATAACATAAACATCATTTTCCTTAAAAGCTCGATTATAAATCTACAGATTGCAATCACAGACCTATGCAAATCGTTGTGGACCTCATACGAATATAGATTACAGGCTTAAACGTATATCTTTTGCAGCTTATATATATAGCTAGGGAATTGAGTATCATAAATTTAGATACGCTCCCAAGTATTATATTCAGTTAATTTACCGACCAAGCCATATGTATACCTTTATAATAAGCTTCTTTTACGACACGTATGCGGTATGCATATAAATACATATAGTTCCTACTGTATTTGATGATTTAAACATTAAGATGTAGATGGACATTATTCAACGGATCGTAGACACTGTGACGAATATGGTTTCTCTGACGGCTATTGTGGACCATCATTTTATAGACTTTTTTCGTTTCCAAGTGTAAGCATTATTATATAAACATGAATATATTAGGTATATTATATATTTGCGTGTGTACTGCAAAGAAAATTTGCATCGGAATTAAAATAAATGTTGCATGGCATCCTCAACTATAAAATCTCTATCACGAATATTTTAATTATTATTTTCTACTAAACGGAAATATTTAGACGATCGACACTTGTACAATTTTTTGAATACAATACTATATATTGGTTACATATAAATTAGAGAATTTTGCGTTTCCATTTACAAATTCGAGTGTTCGTGAGATAAAATTAGTTATAGTGGCAAACTGCATTTTCAAATGGTAGTTCTAAATCAAGAATGAAAATGCAGCGATGCATGGTGCCCTAAACTTTCTAAAAGAAATGATCGTATCATAATTAAATAATGAGCACAATTTATTATAAATTTTGATGACACGTAATTTTTAATTATGACAGTTTTTCATCTTCATATTTAACATATAATAAAAACTGTCATAACATCTACCTTAAGGAGAAGAAGGGACATGTTAAATTTGAGTGTTCATGAGACAACCATGATAGTAGTGTAGCCTTTAGCAAGCGGTTAACATATTATATGTAGTGCCGAATCATCCACAAAACTAATAGTAAACGTAGTTTTTAGAAACTAACACGAATTGGATAAATTTTATTTTAATTAGTTCATATATATATATATAAATTTCTCCCTAATTATTGATATGGGTTGTGTAAATATTTAATACAACTATTTTTCCCCCAACATATATATTGCTTGGCTATTGTATATGTTCATCTACGTGTGCTTAAAATATGAGGTCCCCTCTTATCCCTGAGGTAGAACTTCAATTTTCTACAATATGAATATGGCCATACTTTGTGGACCTACCAGTCTTCTTATTTTAGTCTAAACTGTTTGATAATTTGCGATACACACAAATTTTCTATTGCGGGTTATTGATAATTAGAACAACTTCTACAGTATAATATAAAATATACATATCTTGTTATTCTAGATATAATAAAATCTATTTAATATAGATAATATATAATTAACAATTATATCTTTCAAAATGTTTACCGAATTCAGAAATTAATATTTAATAATTATTTCATGACTCGCAATTACAATAAAATAACAAGCAATGGTATATCGTGGCTACAAGAATATTTTTAAAATAAGAGTCCACGTGGAATATTCGTTATAGCAAATCTAAAACGACACTGATAAGAAAATAATTTGATTATATCACTTCACGTAGCTGACTTAGTCTTCTTTCTCCACAGAATAAACTTATTAATAATCAAAACTTCAATAATTAAGATAGAATAGAGCTGGACGTGGACCCGGTCGGTTTGACCTTCTTCAATTAATTTTATTTTTATTTATCTGGTTTCAAATTATTGAAACTTTATGTTTTTTTTTTTGCAAAGACTTATTAAACTTTAGCATGAAATATGATGCAGTGTAAAGCTTTCTTTCACAAGACTGTTTTCTCCTTTTGGTTCTTAATCACTCTTATCACATTATTCTATAACCCTACCCTATAATTAAGGTAAGTTGACTTTATCCGTTGACAAGACACGTGGCGAGTTCATTACCGACGCCAAGTGGAGCTTAGACTTTTTTTTCTATTATTTAATTTTCATAAGGTTTCTTTTTCTTTCCATGCAGGTATTAGTTGTCTAGCTGCTCTGTTTCATGTTGGTATTCGTTTCGTTTTCGTCTCAATTATTATTCGAATTATTTTCTTTAAAAGAAATAATATTTAATATGTAGATTTGCATGGGAGCTGATGAATTGTTGTGTTAAACACGATATATAGCAAAAAAAGAAGAAAATAATTTATATATCCTTCTCAATTATTATTCGAATTATTTTCTAATAATATTTAATATTTAGATTTGCATTGGAGCTGATGTATTGTAATTGTAGTGTTTAACACGATATATAGCAAAAAAAGAAGAAAATAGTTTATATATCCTTCTAACTATATATATTATATAGATTCCTACCAAAAAATTTATATATTATATAGATTTATTTTTTTGATAAATTAAAGTTTGGTCGACTTACGTACGAGATTGATAATTATAATAGGCAAGAAATTCCCATTTACATTTTATCCAAAAAAAAAAAAAAACAATTTCTATGTACACGGGGTTGCAAATAAGTCGGGCTATACCGTAAATGGGATTTTGATGAAACCCAAGCGGCCCAAGATTGGATTTGTTCCCTTATCCAATCCGGCCCAACAAACTTTAGCGGATGGTGGACGCAGAGAAAACCCCACTATGTTCCACGCGCGCCTTAGAAAGCGTTAGATCACGCGCCGCGTCTCTGAGGGATTTTTTTTGGTCAAATAAAACTAAGACGGTGTCGTTGAGGATTAAACTAAATGCGTTAAGTCAAATATGTGCGCGAGTGCAAACGAGTTAAGTCAAAAGATAGTCTCTGGTGACTCACTTTACTCTTGAGCCCTACCAAAGAAGAACTCGAACCAATCTTTGCTTCAATCCGATTCCTGAGGGATTCGAATTGATTAGCAAAGATAGTTAAAGAAGACGGGAGAAATCATACGGAGATCACAAGAATCCGAGTCAAATTATCGTAAGGTGATCTTTGTTGATTCTATGAAATCGAAACATCTTCATTTCTGTGTTTGCTTTTCGCTAACACAGAGTAGCTTCGATTGGGTGGGTTTCAGATGGAATTTTGAATTGGTTGATAGTCAGATATGGATGCGAACTTCGTTTTGCTTCTGTGTATAGCTTTGATTTTCGCCGCTGATACTACGTATAAGGTAATTAATACTAAAGATTAATCTCTGTGAAGATATTACAAATTTGATTTCTGAGGTTTTTGTTTACTACGATTTGTTAAAATTAAGGTTGATGGAGAGAAAGAATCCGCGTCGAGCTCGATCACGAATTCGAATTTGACAGATACAAGATTTGGTGGTGGGTCTGAAATTGCTGTTACCAATGTTACTGATTCTGAAAGTGGAGGAGATCATTCTAAATTGGGAGATGGATCAGAAACGAAGGGCAGTGATGAGAGTGAAAGCGCAAAGGAGGAAGCTGTGAGCAGTTCTTCAAGGAAGAAAAATGGGTTTCATGGTGAAGAATGTGATCCATCTAACATGTGTACAGATAAGGATAAACAGTTTGTCGCTTGTCTTCGAGTTCCTGGTAATGGTGAGTCTCTCTGTTGAATCAACTTTATTGTGTGTGTGTGTGTGCCTACAGAGTTTTGAGCTTTTTTTCACCATTGTTTGTGCAGATGCGCCTCATCTCTCACTCTTGATTCAGAACAAAGGCAAGAGTGCTTTGCTTGTAACTATAACTGCTCCGGGTTTCGTTCGGTTAGAGAAGAACAAAGTTGAGCTCCTTGAAAACGAAGACACAAAGGTAATATCTGTATATATGTTAGGGTCTTCGTTTTCTTTTGATGGATCCCTTCTGCATTATACATTCATCGACTTTAGTTACCTAAAGCCTAAAATATTTGGCAGAGATTGTTTGTTAAACTAGTGCATTTGATGAGTAAAAATCTAGACTGCAATACAGAGCCTAGACCGTAGCTGCATAGGTTTTACATGGAGAACATATTCCCTAGATCACACGTCAAGACAACATTTTTATTCAATGATTTGCTAATCTTGAAGCTTAGATCTTGGAACAAAATGATGGGTCAACCTAAAGCTTAGATCTTTTTGCAGGTGAAAGTCTCTATTAAAAAGGGAGGGTCCAACGATAGCGCAATCATACTAGCTTCCGGTAATGGCCATTGCAGCCTTGAGTTAAAGGATTTGGCCATTGCAGCACATGAAACAGGAAACGAAGATACAGTGGTTGTTTCTCGTCCTTCAATCCTCAGTATCCGTCCGAGAACACTCATCGTCGTCGTCATGATCTCCTTCCTCGTGCTCTCCCTTGTCGTCATCCCAGTGATTATCCACGTTTACAGGAACAAGGCAAAGGGAAACAGCAAATACCAGAAGCTGGACATGGCATTGCCAGTGTCGAACACGGCTTCGGTGTCAAAATCTGATCAACAAACGGGTGATGGTGATGACGGATGGAACAATAACTGGGGAGATGATTGGGACGATGAAAATGGCGACGGAGGAGACGAAGAACAGCCGAATACTCCGGTGTTACCACTCACACCGAGCGTTTCGTCTAGAGGACTCGCTCCTAGACGACTCAGTAAAGAAGGTTGGAAAGATTAGTTTCACTCACTTGTCTCTTGTGTTTCCACGGAGAATTTGTAACGCTGATCCTGAAGGGATTTTTGGGTAATGTTTATTTATGGAGTAAAAAACTTTGTTACCAAAGTAACAAAATCAAAACGCTTTTCTTTTTATACCTTTGGGCCTTTGGTGTTTCTGAGTATGAGCTTCTTGTTTATCGGCCTAATTTGTTTTCATAATTCTGTACGTTTGGGCTGTGAAGATGATATCGTGCCTTTCATATTCTCAGTTTCGTCTATGTTTAAATACAATATTTAACAAACATTTAACCCAAAAAAAATGAAAGTAAACAAATAAAAAAGGGTTAATACTGTTCAATTTTTAGTTACGATTAAGAAAATAAGAGCCAGTCAAAAATAAACTGTGCCAGGTATGTGTTAACGACTTAACGTCAAGTGAGGCGCCGTCGAAGAGCACCACGTTGCACTGTCAAACGACGTCGTCACGAAGCTCACGTGGTGGGGACCACTATTCGGCTGTCAGCTGGCACGTGCGCTCATGTGCACAAGAGAAACTTCTCGCCTTGTGAACTCGACACGAGTCCCTCTTGTCTCGCTGAACATGGAACGTTCGATGGAAACTCGCGGTCGTGGGACCCCAATTATTGGACGGCCCAGATCGAACTCATCTCAATACACCCAAGTTTGTTTATCGGTGATCTCGGGATAGTGTCGGTCAGTAAAATCCAAACAAAGATCAATTTATTAACCGGTTTAATTTAAACCGACCGACACAATTTAATTACCCCTACGCGTCCACGTGCATTAAGGAAGATCAAAACCCGTCGAGCTTCGTTTTTTCTGATAAACAAAACTTTTGCTGATATTTAATTGCATGATTGTCTCGTGGCTTATATACTTATTTTTGCGAATAAACTAGATTTTCTGTAAAGTTGATCAACCGTAAAATATCCTGTGATGATATAGTGAATGTTGCCAGCGAGTGATTGAGCTTGAAATCAAATACTATATGCTGCCAAATTAATAAGAACCAGCTAGTTATGTAATCATATGAATAGCATTATGAATTATCATTGACATGATTAATTATCGACGATCCTGGTGTTTTGATTGGCATGTGATTTACAGTGCAAAGTGAAAGTGATTAGCATTTTTTGGTATAATTTTGACTTTTTCGGTATAACGAAAGTTTTACCATGCAAAATGATTCTACCATTCTACTATATATATCGCACGTTTTAATCCTCTAAAGGTCAACGTATGATCAAGATTAGCTAATTGAATTACTTGACACTCATCAAAGTTCAGATTTCAAACTACACGCATCAAAGTCAACCAAATATACTCCCATGTTAATATCAATAGTCAACAAGATACCACATTAATTTATAATCTGTAAATATTGTGTAAATAACTAATACAGACTATACTGTAAAAATAAAAAAATTAATACAGAGTATTTTGTAAATACTTTATTATGGCACTGGCTATAAATTCGATTTTAGTTTTTATTGTTATGTAATCTCTATAGTCCCCACCTTTGGATCCTGCATTGATATAATTTTAGGCCAAAGCATTTGTGGATGTCTTTATCACAAATACCAAACATAATAATTATTATTAATAATATACTTTTTTAGTTGTTGGAATTCACCAATGAAATGTTAAACTCCATTCCATATCATATTCAATTTCGAAATGTGACATGTCGATTGCCTTAGATACATAAACTTTATGTCATGAACATGAACTAATAAACTGATATAGGTTTTTAATTAAAAGTTTCAATAACCAACAAGCTTTATAATGACTGATATGTCATATAAATAGTAAATCAAAAGGATGATAGAACAAGAAAAATCATAAAACTTCTAGTAGTGATTAAATAGGAAAATCTAGTTATGTTGGTTTTTGTCTTAATCAATATGTTGATGTTTATAAAAACAGTAAGAATTATCGAAATATCAGTTTTCTTTTTTATTGTTACTGTTACTTACTACAATTTTGTATATATTATAACTATTTTGATATATTTTCCCACGGCTTAAGTCCACACTTTGGTAATAAATACAAATAATAAATTACAGAATTGCCGTTAAACAACTAATTAGAAAAAGGTAAGGCCGTCAAGAAAACAAAAGGTAAGGAACAAGAAAAGAAAAATAGAGATGTTTATTCCGTGATTGGCTCATTGCTCACGTACGGTAGTAATCTACCTTGACATACGGCTATACGCTCAGTCGCAACTAGTGTTTATATATATATATATATATAATTTGATTATTTTTAATTACTAGAATGCAAAAAGTACTTCTAAACTATACAAGTGAGATTTGAATATGATATATGATACGTAAGTCCATGCTTCAATTGCGGCAATCACAACCGCGGATTATTTTGACATATACTTGTAAATAACAGTGGAAACATGTGACTATATATATATATAGCTTTATTTCTATTTTAAAAAGGCGAAAATATTCGGTGATATGGACAAAATTAGGTATGAAATGGGTCTGCCACACTTGGACACTATCACAGATTTTTTAGAATAATAGAGCAATAGACATTAAACTGCACCTATAAAGCTTGATAAATCCCAATACCATATTGTAACAAAATATATAAGTATATAATAGTACTATTAAAGAGAGTGAAGAAAAAAACAATGAGAAATTTCTAGGAATGAGTACCCCGTAGATCGTGGAAGGAGGAGAAAAGCTGGAAGATAAAGCCTTAAACTTCAAGGGGACCTGCTTCCATTAAACCTCGGACCCATTCTTATTAAATAAAACGTTTTTTCACATGATATTTCGAAAAATATCGGATGTTACAATTTACAAACCTTTGCTTAAACTTGATAATATTCTGGTTAAAAAAATAAAAAATTATGATGTTTTGGTTAGAGGGAAAATATCAGTTAAAATGTGAATAAAGGAAAAGAATTCACAATAATATGACAAATACTGAAATACACACAACATCAAAATCGTAGGAGATCTTTGTAGGGACACGTGTTTTTTACTTCGCACGTGTGAAACTCTTGTGGGCCTCAAAAGTCATTGCGCGGTAGTTATCTGTTACGCGTGGAGAATCTCCTCGTTAACACTTTTTCTGTCTCCACATTTGTATTTTTTTATGTTACACAATCGCTAAAGAAATGGTAATTTAGTAATGTAATTGTTTGTTTTCCCCAATTTGATCATTTGGTATTGCATGCGGGTTATATGCTCGTAGACCTGGGGACGTCATTGCTAATATTCTATCATTATAAATGTTTTTTTTTCGAAAATGGCCTTCAAAATCATTATAAATGTTACAATGTATAAACAATTTAAAGTTAAAGAATGGTCCTGTTTTGGTTAAGACCTTCGATTTATTACCACAAACTGAAGTGAAGTATACATATTTAGGTTTTGACTGTTTCGGTGCCTTCTTAATTGAATTTGGCATTTGCATTTGTATTGAAAATATATCATTCTTTTCAAAGTTTTTAAAATTAAAAACACATACGTAAAACACACAAATAAAAAGATGAGATTCATTTATAAAAGCAAATGTCGATTGTTTTATACGAAATGATGGCTAGATTTGCGCATAATTATATTCCTAAGTCCTAACCACTATAGGTCCACTACCACATATCAGGTTAACGACGTGTAAATTTTCAAAATTTTATTTCTTGTACTACTTTGTACTTGTTTATGAAATGCATATATAGATCTTGTTATTCATTCTTATTTTATAAAATTACAGATTATATTTTATATTTGCATGCCCAATATTTCAAGTGATGTAGAACATACTTTGCGTTTACGTGGTGTAAATGTATTAATTACTTCTCAAAAATCGATCTTCAACAATTTCAAGAACAAAATGAAAATACCCAAAATAGAATTATACATGAACTATATCTTCAAGGGGTCATTTTAAACTCAGTTGCATGTGAGAAAGAGGTCTCGAAACTCCATCTGATGACAAGTGACGGTTGATAAACCACTAAACTAACGACGCTCGTCAGATTTTAACATATTTAAGAAAGTAATTTGAAGTACATTTCAATTTTATCATTGATAATTCAACCTATGTATATTTGTGTGTTTTGTTTATGAAGAACAGTACTTTATTATTATTCGAACTGGTATATAATAAGATATTTCCCACACTGCACTATGACTTTTGACTTCATACGTGAATGTTACACTTAAACCTAATAAAGTAGTAATAAAAGTGATCAATAAATGCAAGTATCTAATTTACTTTAGTTTAATTGCTTTGATTACTTTCACATTCCCCCTATTTCCTATTTTGGCTATTTCTGTAAGACGAATGACGATCTATGTGGACAAAAAAAAAAACAGACGATACATGCAAGACGTAGCTCTTAAATCCCGTAACCTTTTTTTTCTTTTTCTCCAGCCATATATTTCCTCAGCCTTAAGTTTGCATTAGGTAAAATAGGTATAATCAACGGGAAGTTCAAAATCATATGAAATGTTATATCACTCTATCTGCTTTGTAACATCGATCATATTAATTACTCTTCTAAGTTCTAACCACAAATGATTGTTCTCGTAAAGCTAGGATCAACTTCCGCTATATGGATTTATCTTAGTTACTACGAACAAAGAAAAATTAAGAACTTTTTGAAAAACATCGAAATAATTTGTGATCCAATGTAAAATTTAATGAAGTAGAAATATAACTATAAATGATATGCATCAACAAAGTATCTGATTTTTTTGTTAATCAAAGAAAATAATTAAGCAGAAGTGACATCCCCCAACTTAGATTTCCTGCCTTAATCTACAGCATATAATGTATTAATGTATCATGTATGGCTTACGTATTATCATGCACATACACGTGTACATGTCCTTATTATATGTCATATACACATTTTTAATTTTTTTCCAATGACATTGGTGTTTGGCAGCTAATGGATCTATCGGACTTAACTTATACAACTCAGAATTGGTGTTTGGCAGCTAATAGATCTATCGGACTCCCGCACCGCAAATAGAGTTGAGTGCAAATTAATCTCACTTCACTTGAAACTACAGCAAAAAGCCAAAAATCATTTTAAAAAAAACTTGTTGTTCGTTTCTTACGACCAGTGGACAATAAACAAAATACTATATAAATTCTCTGACGTCGTTAATTAACTGAATGCGCTTCGTGTGTGTAAATAATTTGTTTATGTAAGTCTTGCAGTCATTTATTTAATTTTGCATCAAATATCTTTATATTGACCAAAAGGAACTATTTGAAGTAAAATTAACAATGAAGCTTTCAGATGTAAGAAAAAGTTTAGTTTCAATGGTTGAATTTGTGCATTTTCGATACTATTAAGATTGGAATTCCAGAATTTTTATTTTTCTCACAAAATTGAGAATGTATTTATTCTTCGGTTTAACTGCTGTTTTTTTTTTCTAAATTAATGTCGGATTCATAGAGTTTTAATTTTGGATTTCACTTTAAAATTTTTAAAAATGTATCTTTCAATTGTATTCTTTCCTTTCTAATAAAATTTTCAGATGACAAAAAAAAGTGAATTAACAATGATAAAAAAACAATTAATAAGCAAATAAAACAATATATATTCTCATTTGAGGACATACCTACATCTATCAAAAAAGCCATTGCCTTCTTTTGACTGTTGATTGTTAAAGGTGTCTCTCAAACTAACATGATACCGACTAAGATCTTGCCACGTATACAAGCCACGAGAAATTTTAAGGACCTGTCAATATACAAACTCCTCGAGAGATCCTTTTGTTTCTATTTATTTTACACGTACTGTAAAAGCGTATTTATTTACTGTTGAATAAAAATCGTTTAATTGGTTTGGAAGTACAAATAACTGGGACCCATTACCAAAACGATCACCTGAGTGGAGCGTTGCCGTGGCCGTGACTCAACCGGCGACAGACGGTCAAACCGGAGCTTTTGCCTCTTTGACCTCTGTTTACGTGTCAGTTTACTTTCGCATCGCCGTTAAATTGATTTAAGTTATTATTAGCAGATATTATTTAAATAAGCTGAAAGATACGATGATATACGGTCAAAAGAAAAGAAAAAGCAAACCTGGAGAAATTTAAAATTTTAATAATACAAAAGCATTTTAGATGATAAAAAATAAAATAAAATAAAATGTTTAAAAGAAAAATTTGTGATAAAGTTGAACTAGGAAGAAAAAAAGAAAAGGGTATAATTATTCGCCGGGAGACCGTTGATTGCGGTTGGGAATAAAGCCATCTGACAAGGAGGCTTGTCCGTTTTGACCTTGTCTTTTCTCTTCTTGTAAAAATACGTATTCCAGTAATCAAAAACTAATTTATATACCTTTTTTGCGATAAAATCTAATTTATAATGCTGAGAGACTTTGAGAGTAATGTGATTACCCCTTAAGTTTTCGATTTGTTTTTTAGTTGTTCGGTTTAAAATTAGAATTCAGTTTTTAATCAAGTTTCGTTCTGATCTATTTTTCTCTAAATCATATTTTCAAAAGTCAAATTTATTTGGATTATCCAGATAAAAACACTTCTAACAATACTAATTATTTTATACCTGTTGTAAATTCACATATCATCAAAAATATATTTATTACTCATATAGCTTCCAGTCACTAAATTGTCGGTGGATTTTGTTTTCATACAAGGCTAAGTTTGAAAGTCTTTACTTACCCTCGATCTCAACTCAATCATGTCTGTACGCGGAAGCTATGGCTCTTAACTCTTGATTTTGGAGAAACCTATACTTTGAAAATGATTCTAAGAGCCTTAAGCATGCTGCCAAAGAGCCTACAGAAAGTGGTCGAGGTTGCAAAATTCAAATTAAAAAAAAAAGATGATGGAAGCGTTTCTTCAACTTCAAAGAATCAAAATCAAGAAAGACAACCCTTTCTTGAGTTTACTAAGTATTTTGCTATTGTAGTTTGTAGTAATTACACAATGGTTATTACTATTTGTTCACAAAAAGAAACCTTGTGTAAACAATCAAATTTATGAAATTAAGTATGGTTTATTTGATAACTTACGTAACAACTTGAAGAAAGTGAAACGAAAACGAAAAAAAAAAGAGAGGGAAAAATAGTGTTACGTTGTCGGTTTGTCGGGTTAACCACTCGGATGGTTTGCAGAAAACCAAATGTCAAAACCGCTCGTCGTCAACGTGTTTTCTGTTTGTTCTTTTGAATTAACTTTGATGCCTAACTTTATTTTGGTTGATTCCCGTATTACCCTTGTAACAAAGTGGTACGTGACCGATAAATGAGAGAGCATTTAGGAGAATTGACACAAAGGTGAACAAGATCGTTTGGGCATATTGTTAGGAGGATATTATCACTTTTTTCACCTTTTTTTTTTAGTGTGTTTGCCTCAAAACTCCTTCACACTCATCATATAACGCCTTGATAATAGTATTAGATTAATACAAATGGTTGTATAAGATTAACTTCAACTAACCATATACATATCTTTACTAAAAAGAAAACTAGTTTTAGTATATTACTTTATGTAAATGTAAACACATTCATTTACCACCTCGCCGCCCCTATGTGAAAAGAGACCAAAAGATTCATGGGAACACTCACATGACTTTGTTCTTTTCATTTTTTCTCTATTATTCTTCTTTTTCAAATTAAATTATTCTTTTCGGAAATATATATATATACATACATTTTTGTAATTACTCTACTAAGTTCCTAAAATAAGCAATTGACGTTAATAAGAAAAGAAAAAAGAATAATTGTTTTGAGATTACTTTGTGATTAATGCGGAGGACGACACAATTTTCCTCTTGATTATTAGTTTACAAATTTTATTTTTTAAAAAATCATTGTCGTAACGTTTACATAGGTTATGTACATTTCAAAATTTCGACCAACACTTAAACAAGAATTATAAAGTAGTAGTAGTAGTAATAACTATACTCAATATAGATCAAGCATTGTAATTAATAATATAAAAAACGAAATTAAATTATCATTAAATGAATGCTAACTGTCAAAAAATTTCTGTCTCTTGGTACCTTCCTGCTTCCTCCTTCTTCCTTCCATATATAGAACACTTAAGCTCGTCCCTTCGTCTTCACAATCTCTCTTCGTCTTCCTTTTCTCAGTCTCTAGTCTGGCTTATTCAGCGCTTTTTAGCTGATAATCTCGCCGGCATTTCTCTTCTCTCTCTCTTTTTTTTTTATTCTCTTTGTGAAGCTATGGAAAAGTTTGCGTCCGTGGCTGCTCTGTTTCTGCTTCTCTGTTTTCCGGTAGCTTTCTCCGGTCATGATTACGGCCAAGCACTTTCCAAGAGTCTTCTTTTCTTCGAAGCTCAGAGATCTGGTGTCCTCCCTGGTAACCAGAGAGTCACTTGGCGTTCTCACTCCGGTCTCAACGACGGCAAATCAAGCGGCGTATGTCTCTTCTCTCTATATTAATTAACAATGTTGCCGTTTATCATCCAAAACCAGACAATAAAACTCTGTTTTGAAAAATTATTCATACAACATTTCCGACAATTAGCCATAGATCTATACTCTGTTTCATTCGGTTTTGACTTAAATGCTGTGTTTTTTTCTTTTTCTTCAGGTGAATCTGGTCGGAGGTTATTACGACGCCGGAGACAATGTGAAATTCGGACTTCCGATGGCTTTCACGGTGACAATGATGGCTTGGAGCGTCATTGAATACGGCAATCAATTAGCAACTAACGGCGAGCTTGGCCACTCCATTGACGCCATTAAATGGGGAACTGATTACTTCATCAAAGCCCATCCTGAGCCCAACGTCCTCTACGGCGAGGTAACTTTTTATTTAATTAAATAATCAATCAGTAAAGACTTCCCAATTTCATATTTTAATTTCTTAGTAATTAATTTGAAAATTTTATAGGTAGGAGACGGCAACACCGACCATTACTGCTGGCAGAGACCGGAAGAAATGACGACGGACCGGAAAGCGTACCGGATAGATCCGAGTAATCCCGGGTCGGATCTCGCCGGAGAAACAGCAGCTGCCATGGCCGCCGCATCAATCGTCTTCCGCCGGACTAACCCTGCTTACTCTAGGCTACTACTCACTCACGCTTATCAGGTAACTTTCGGCGCATTTTCTACTTTTTGAGGATGCGCACTTTAGCATAAAGTGCATAGTGATATATTAGTATTAACTTAGCGGCAGTTACGTTGGGAAGTTGCAGACACGTAATTATTGCACAACAGTAGAAAAGCCACTTAAAAAGTCATTTTCAGCGCACGTTAAGCGTTATATCATTGGTGTCGTTTAGCAATGCAAATTTTGTTTTCATTCTAATTGCAATAAATTTATAAAAGCTAAAAAAAGAAATATTCTCTGAGATTTGCTATATTTTATATCAACTACCATCTCACCAGGAGTTTAGCATATTTGATATTCTAACTCTTTTGAAGTTAGAATTTAATTTACATACATTAGCTTACTACTTAAACTAATGAGAAACTACTACTATTTTAACACTCTAAACGGTGCCGTGTCGCTGATCCCGTAGGTGGACCCCGTCGTTCTCTGTCCATCACGGGTTTTTTGTGTTAGTTGTGACCGTTCAAATCTTAATTCTCTAACGATCTCAGCCGTTCACCTTAAATTTATATTTTTCCTATTTATTTTACAATACACTCTTCGCACATGCCTTGGGCTGTCGGTGTCCCATACGTATAATAAGTAACAACAGCTTTTCCCAATATAACCTTTCATCTTCGACAATATCACGAATCTGCCACTCCCCCACGAGAATTGCTTAACTAACCTCCTTCCCACTCGTTTTATTACGGATTTGCCATCCTAATTCAGTTTTTTTTTTTATTTTGGTTTATTTCAGCTGTTTGATTTCGCCGACAAATACAGAGGAAAGTACGACAGCAGTATCACCGTTGCTCAGAAGTATTACCGATCCGTCAGTGGCTACAATGTAAGATTTCTATTTGAGAATCTGAGATTAAGCTGGGATTAAGGGGTTTGAGATGATGTCTAATATATGAAAATTGATCTTAATTTCGACGATCAGGACGAGTTACTATGGGCAGCTGCGTGGCTATACCAAGCATCGAACAACCAGTTCTACTTGGACTACTTGGGTCGCAACGGTGACTCCATGGGTGGGACCGGTTGGTCCATGACCGAGTTCGGTTGGGATGTTAAGTACGCTGGTGTTCAAACCCTTGTCGCCAAGGTCAGTTACAACAACCCAATTTTAAATTTTGTTGTTAAACCGGTTTGATAATCTTGGTTTGATTCTAAACCGGTTTATATTCCTCTGTGACAGTTCTTGATGCAAGGCAAAGCAGGACGTCACACGCCTGTGTTTCAGAGGTTTCAACAGAAAGCTGATTTCTTCATGTGTTCGTTGTTGGGCAAAGGCTCGAGGAACGTTCAGAGGACACCAGGTGGCTTGATCTTCAGACAGCATTGGAACAACATGCAGTTTGTCACAAGTGCTTCCTTCTTGACCACGGTTTACTCTGATTACCTAACTTCCTCTCGAAGCAACTTGAGATGTTCTTCCGGAACTGTCGCTCCTTCGCAGCTTCTTTCCTTTGCTAAATCTCAGGTAAAGGATCGGCTTGTGTTTAACTTTGAGGAGAAATTAGAATGCATCATCTTTAACAGTTTCGTGATATATTCTTCTTGTTCTTCTTCTTCAGGTGGATTACATTCTTGGAGATAACCCAAGAGCAACGAGCTATATGGTTGGATATGGTAACAACTTCCCTCAGAGGGTTCACCACAGGGGCTCCTCTATTGTCTCTTACAAGGTCGACCGCTCATTTGTCACCTGCCGAGGTGGTTATGCCACGTGGTACAGCCGTAAAGGCAGTGACCCGAACCTCCTCACTGGTGCTATTGTCGGCGGTCCTGATGCTTACGACAATTTCGCCGATAGGAGAGATAACTATGAGCAGACTGAGCCTGCTACTTACAACAACGCACCACTCCTTGGTGTTCTTGCTCGTCTCAGCAGTGGACACTCCGGTTATAGCCAGCTTCTTCCAGGTTTGTGTCTTGAGACTCAAAACATTCCTATATATCCATCCCCAAGAAGATTCATTGGAACTCAAGTAGTTTTGCTTCTTTATTTTGTCGTTGTTGTATCCCGGCAGTGGTTCCTGCTCCTGTTGTCAGAAGACCAATGCCTATTCGTAAACCGAGAGTGACCTCCCCGGTCCGAGGTATGCTCTTCTCTACTTTTGCCTGCAGGTCAATCTATGAGTTTCTATTGAACAGAGACATGAACTTTGTTGATTACTTGTGCAGCTTCTGGTCCAGTTGCTATAGTTCAGAAGATGACTGGTTCATGGGTCTCAAAGGGAAGGACTTACTACAGATACTCAACAACTGTGATCAACAAATCACCAAGAGCTCTGAAAAGTCTCAACCTTTCGATCAAGAATCTCTACGGACCAATCTGGGGACTCTCGAGATCAGGAAGCTCATTCGGTTTGCCTTCGTGGATGCACTCGTTGCAATCCGGAAAGTCACTAGAGTTCGTCTACATTCACTCAACCTCGCCCGCAAATGTCGCGGTTTCAAGCTACACTTTGGCTTGACCAAAATGATGAAAAGAAATCACAGTGTGTATAGAGTCATGAGAAGAAGAAGAAAGAAAGTGTTGGTTTTTCACTCTGGTTTGGTCTTTTTATCTTCATTTTCGTTTTTTCGGGTTTCTCTGGTGAATATAAAAGGGTTGAAGAAGGGTGGAAGAAAGGTGTGAAGAGACAGTGGAGACTCTTCAAAAAAAATCAAGAAGAGTGAAAAGTGCTCATCCTCTTTCTACTCCAAGTTCAGTGCTTTTTAATTTTATATATAAACATATATATAGTGAGAGAGAGGAAGATAGAAAGATAGTGTTTTGTGAGATCTTCCTTCTCTTTAAAAAGGGATCTTTGTGAGATTTGCAAGGATTGATTTTTTTTTCATTCCTTGTAGCTCAAGAAAGCATGTCTATGTCTCTGTCCTTTTGTGTTTTATCTTTCTTGGTGTTCAGTTGTAAAACTCAACAACAGTTCTTAATGAAATGTGATTTGGTTATCAACTTGTGTTAAGTATTTGTCTTCTACTGATAAACTTCGAAATTTAGTGACTTTAATTACTGTGAAATTAACAGAAGGAAAACTTGTTCCAAGAAAAGACCAACAAAGTATCACCTCCCCAAATTCTTTATTTTCTACACAAGGTATGATATGTTAAATTTTAGTAGTTAGTTACTCTGAATCTTTTCTTTAATTAAAATGTAGGTCATTTTCTCATTGTCTAACAAATAATATATTCTTTCTAGCACGCGAGGAACAGCACAGAAAATAGTCGGCTTCAATGCAGCAATGTCTTCAATTAAAATCTTGACATCCTGAGACAACAGATTTATATGAATACATAATTAAGTCCATTATGAAACAGGTGGATATTTGAATGTTAAGCTAACAAGGGCTACTCATTAAGCTAAATTTCTCTTTTTGACTGCTTTATTGCATGCACTTGCTAATTATTTCTAGTGGAAATTTGCTCTTTACTCGTTATGGCTTTTCTTAATTTAGGTGTTTGAGAATAATATGGAAACTACAATTGAGTAAACAGGCACATAAGCTGTAGAAGATGATGACTCAAGACGATGATGCCTCCGACTCTGGTACGGAAAGGCAAGATGAAGGGATGATACTTAATGATACGGTCAAAAGGAACATATATTTACGGCAATATATGAACAAGAATGTTCAGATGAGATGAAAAGTAAAAGTTCTTTAAAGTTTTGAACAGAATTCGAACAAAAGATTTTTGTGAATAAGGTTTTCTCTTAGGATTTTTCAAACTTGACTCAAAGATTTAATTTTGTGATATCCTTGATTAGCGATGAATTATTATTGAAAAATGTTGATCTTTCTTTTCTTTCTTTTATGTGGCTCAGAAATATTGGCTCCTTAGGATTCTTCTTCATCACGCTTTGCCTCTCGCATGATGATGTTGAAGATGAATTTTGACAATTCCAAAAGTATTGGAAAAACCAACATGAAAAGCCACAATGTAGCATTGACTATACATCCCAAGAACATGAGATTGGGGTTCATGGTTGAATAAAATGTCGTTGCTGGGCCACATGGCATTCTTTTCAACCATGAACCCCAATTCCATGTTTTTGAGATGCATCGTTAATGCTTCATTGTGTTTTTTTATGCTTTGTCGGGTTTTTTAAAAGCTTTTGGAATTGTCAAAATTCATCGTTAATCAGAGATATCACAAAGTTAAATCTTTGAATCTAGTTCGAAAAATCTTAAGAGAAAACAGTAAGAGAAAATTTAATTCACAAAAATCTTTTGTTCAAATTCTGTTCGAAACTTTAGGAGTTTTTATTTTTCATCTCAACTGAACATTCTTGTTCATGTTTTCTGTTGTAATATTTACCAAACTAATAAAAAATCTTATTATCTAAATCCTCATACTGTTATTTACTTATTAGATTAGGTGGATCCCCATACCGTTATTTACTTATTCGATTAGGTGATCTTAAATCTATTAAGAAACAGCTAAAATAGAACTTTTTATTCCAATATAACTGTAGCAAATACATCAAACATAAGGAGAGTCTTGTACATAAAAAAAGGCATATATCTTTGTTTACAAGCAAAAAATTAAACTTCGATTTTAAGTTTTCAACACAACAAAGAGACATATATCAATATGGTTAATAGTGAAAAGAAATGTATAAAAACTTGTCAAACAAATTCCTTTTTCACACTGGCTACAGAGTAGCATAGAAGCTTCAGTTCTTGGACTTGTTATACATTTCATCAATCTCTTTCTGCGTAAACAAGAACATAAGTTTAAATAATCCAATTCAGCAAACATCATTAAGTCTGCAGATTATCTAAAGTTTGATAATGTAGCCTGGATGTGTTGTTTATGTAGAAAAATGAAAATGATGAGGCTTTTCATTTACCTGATAGTACTTGAGAAGTTGTGGCCTCTTCTTCTTGTAAGAAGGTGTAATAAGATCTCTTTCCATGTCGAATGGCATTGTTTCCAAGTGAACACCTTTGATCAGCTCAAATCCCTTCAGCTGTAAGAAAAAAAAACACATAAATTTAATTTTTCTTAGTTAAAGTAAGATTGTTGTATAAGAAACAAACAAGACTAATGAACACAAATTATATAAACCTTTTTATCTCTGGCTACTCTGTTGAATTCTCCAAGGATAAACTCTTTGGTCTTTGGGTTTTGACAGATAGACTCAAAGTCACCTGAAACATTCTGTTCTTTAGCCCAATGCTCGATCTGTATCTTGCTTGGACATACCACAGCCACTAAGTAAGACTCATAGCTGTTTCCATACACCCATATCTGCAACAAAATATGTTTTAACACAGTTCAGATAAACCGATTGAAACAGAACAGAAACCAAACCGTGTAAACCGGATTTGCCAATTACCGATTCAATGGCGGCAACGTGACTGTAGATGTTCTCCAAGTTCTCAACGGCAACGTATTCTCCTTGTGAGAGTTTAAAGATGTTCTTCTTTCTGTCGATGATCTTCATGGCTCCATCTGGTTGCCACTCACCGACATCACCAGTGTGAAGCCAACCATCGATGAGGACTTCTTGAGTGAGATCTTCACGTTTGTAATATCCAGAGAACAAAGTCTTTCCTCTGATGCAAATCTCTCCACGTGGATTGCTTGCAAGAGCGTCGTAACCCATTTCTGGAACTGACTCGAGCCTTATGTCAACATTTGGAACCGGTGGACCAACCGTTCCAAGCATCTGAAGCTCATTCGGAATCGACACAAATGTCCCACCACAACTCTCTGTTAGACCTGCAGAACGTAAAAATGTTGGAGGAAGTCTTCATTACTATGACCAAGAATCTGATGTGTTTCTTTGTTCTTACCATATCCTTGGAGAACATGAGCACATGCGACAACTCGAAGGAAAGATTCGATGTGAGCTGCAAGAGGAGCTGCTCCTGAGAGGATTAGACGCACTCTTCCTCCTAATCCTTCTTTTACCTGATATGTTCAAGATTTGATTTTATTCACAATCAAAAGGTTCAAGATAGAGAGAGAGAGTGTGGATTTATTATGTCATTTTATTTTCACCTTTTTGAATACAATTTTGTCAAAGATTGGAGCTGCTTGTTCATGAGGCTTCCCTTTCTCCATGTTACTATGTTTGCTGAAAAAAGGTATCAAAATGGTTTCAGAAACAGAGATTAAAATTATAAAAACTGTGGTTCTTATTTAATCTAAAAAATTGGTAACACTTACTAGTTGAACGCAAAGTTGAATAAGGTCTTCTTTATAAAACCACCAGCAGAAAGTTTCTGCTGAAGACCTGAAAAAATTTACATAGGGAAAAACAGTTAAGCATTTGAATTAGTTTAATGATTTTCAATGTAAAACTAGCCTAGCAAAGTATTTAATTACCGGTGTATATTCTCTCTAGCACGCGAGGAACAGCACAGAAAATAGTCGGTTTCAAAGCAGCAATATCTTCAATTAAAATCTTAACATCCTGAAGAAACAGATTATGAATATATATAGTTAAGTCCATTATGAAACAGATTATGAATTATATACAGTATGTATATTATGAAACAAATTCTATAATCAAGAGAAATATTTCTATAACTTACCCCTCTCCAAAATCCTATGGAGGCTGCTTCATAAATAAACAGCTCTTCAATCACGCGATCGAAGATATGAGCCAGAGGTAGATATGAGAGATAAACATCTTTACTGGTTAACTGTAACATTTTCATAATGAAACAAAGAAGAAGTTGTTATAATGATCTGTTCTTGATATATATACATTGAAGTACTGATGATTATAAACAATATTAATAAGTTACCTCTTCATTGATAGTTTTAAGCAATTTTTTAACACCTTCAAGTAGATATATGATGCTCTCATTTGAGAGTAAGACTCCTTTAGGATCACCAGTTGTGCCACTTGTATACATTATTGTGCAAATATCGCTTCTTTTCTTCTCTGGTAATTCATAATGTTTGCCTTCACCCTGCAAAGTAAAATATACTTTCATAATTCTTATTATAAAATGTAAAAGTAAAATTTTTAAAAAAAATGCAAATATGATTCTCTTACTAGCTTCAAGAACTGGTCCCATGAATATATTGTTAAACCATGCCTCTCAGCTTCTGCTCTTTCCGCACTTGTAACCTCACCAAAACTCACAATATCTGTTCCGAATAGAAATTAGGAATTGTTTCACTCACTGGTTTTTCATGAAACAATCAAACACAAGAGCAATAGCTTACTCTTCAGATATTTGGTTGACCTCGGAGCTGTCTTCAATAACTAAAACAACAAAAAGAGAATCCCAACAAAACCAAAAGCGTTTTGTTAATCTTGGGAATGAAGTTTATATTTTTCTTTATTAAAGAAGAGTGTATGCTAAGAAATTACCTCAGAAATCTTTTTCTCCTCTGAGAAAGCAAGTGATACCTCAGCATGACAAATGATGAATTCTATTGCTCCAGCACCTACCACCATGCATCATCCAAACTCTTTTACATACATGAACTTGATTGAAACGCTCAAAAAATTTATGAGTTATGTCCAAAAAGTTTAAATATAGACTCTGTTTGTATGTACATATTCTTTCAAAAAAGTATATTCTAAAATATATGTAAACTTTGTTAATTCGGTTACTCTTAAAAGTGATTGCATATGTTTAAAATTTGAAAATTCCCTCTAAAGCCCTGGCTAGAGTAGACAAATGTTACAAACCTAGAGTGTCATATAAAGGTACACAATAGAGTCCATGAGCATTGCACGCCTGAAACCAAATGAGAATCGTTTAGAAAAAAAAAACACACATAATTTTCTGCTAATTTTACAATTACATATTTTTAATCTTAATCGATATTACCTCCATGCTTATAATCCACTCAGGGCTGTTGGCGCCATAAATACCACATTTCTCTCCCTGCGTACCACAAAGCATTGAAACTGATATAAGTTATAACTGTAGAAATTTTAGATGCATCTTTTGTATATGGTTCAAAATAAAACCAAGAAAAAAATGTTTTAGGACAGTAATTACTTTTCCAACTCCAAT